TTATGGTATCTCTGTTGATCAGAGATCAGTGGTATCTGTTTAAAATGTTCAGTTATTTTTACATTATCTTTTCATTATGTTGTAGACATACAATGGTGTGTATGATACTGAACTTTTGTATTTGAGACATCCTTTGTAATCTAGGATGTGGTTAATATTTATAAACACCCCATGTGCGCTTGAGAAAAATATCTATTGATATTACCTAGTTGTTGGATAGCTCTAAATATGTTAAATCTATTGAATCGAGCCAGTTAATTGTGTTGTTCCAAACAAACAAAAATCCCACTTGGAGACTCCCCGGGACGAAGTTTGGAGAAGGGAGAGGCTGGAGGTGTGGAGCTCACACAGGAGTGGGGAGGCACGGTGTACACATTCTCTGAGGTAGGATGATAAAAGTGGGGCTGAGGGGAGGGGAGGACCACTCTGGGCTGGAGGGGTCAAGAAGTCTGTTTTAGGCATTGTGCGGCACCAAGGAGAGATGTCCAGGAGGCAGAGGCTGATGGCTGAAGTCATGGGCAAGAACAAAATCTCTCAGGGGAGTGGGGTGAGAAAGCCAGAAATTGTGGTCTAAGCCATTCCGGAATTGTAAATGGAGCACCTTTGGTAACCTCCTCTTTAATACCCATATCAGCGTGTCTTGACTCTAATGGCATAGTGTCTGTGGCCTGGGGGTGTGACTGAGTCCTGCCTACCTGCCGTTGTCAGCCCAGCCCAGAAATGTCTGTCCTCCTCCTGCCGTCACACCCACCAGGCAGCGCTTTCTGTCTTGGGTGTTATTTAGTGTTCCAGGCCCCCTTTGACTAAGAAGCTAAAACGTAACCCTAAATTGGTTCAGCCCAGAGCAGATTATAGGCAGAAAAAGGTGCAGGGGGCGGGTGACACCACAAACAACCCTGACCTACTTAACTGTTCTGCCTGCCACCTGTCCTGCCCGAGGCACAAGTCACTGCTCAACGTGCAGGTCTCAGCTGGCTGGATTTCTAGGCCATCCACTGGGCCCAGTGCCTGCCTGGCCCACCTGCACCAGATAAAGGACCGGTAGGGCTGTGGTACTTACTGCTGGTGGGTGGTGAGGAACTCACGAACAGGAGGCACTGAGGTTACACATCAGGAAGGACCTTGCTGGTTTCAGCTGGGAAGGATGTCAAGCGAGTTCAGGATCCTAGGAGGCTGGGATGTGAAAAGAGAAGATGCCTCTCTGGAATGTTCTGGAGGCTGGGAGGCAAGTGCACCAAGCCTGCATTACATGCCCCCCTATCTCATGTACCTTTCCATGCTCTTCACTGCCTGGGAAGTCGTGTGTGTGTGTGTGTGTGTGTGTGTGTGACAGAGAGAGGGAGGGAGGGAGTGTGTGTGAGAGAGAGAGGGAGGGGTGTGTGTGTGGGGTGTGTGTGTGTGTGTGTGTGTGTGTGAGAGAGACAGTGGGAGGGAGGGAGGGAGACGGAGAGGGAGAAAGACGAGGACTGAGACACACAGAGAAACAGAGACTTAAACTTACCTGGTGCTTTGCAGTTTACAAAATATTTTTCTATCCTTTAAACTTTTCAGCCTCGGTTTTCTGGAGTAAAACAGGCATGGCAATAGTCAGCACTCCATAGGATTATTAGATCAGTGGAGTCAGTATACGTACGAGGAGCGACAGGTGAACGTTATTCATTAACTCAGTGGAGTTTCACAACCGGGAGAGGTAGGCAAGGCAAGTAGTATTACCCCTGCTTTACAATTAAGCGGCTCCGAGATGGAAAGTGCCTGGCTCAAGGTCACCCGGACTTAAGGGTCAGTAGAGTCTGGACCCCCATCTGCCAGGGGTCAGATGAGAGGGGCTGCGTGGATAGAGGCTCCGCTCCGGCCAGGGGGAGCGCGCGTCACGGGTGACGTCACTTCCCCCTCTAGCGGCGGGCGGGGCTGAGCAGAACCCAGGTTCCCCTCGTTCGCGCCCCGGTCCTGAGGTTCTCGGCTGTCCCGCCCGAAGGCTGTGGCCGTTCGCACTTGGCTGGGGTGAAGGAAATGAGGCCTGGTTCTCGAAGCTTCGGGGGCTGAAGATGCGGGGGAGGGGGCTGAACGGCATGCAAGGGGAGCAGCGAGCCCACCAGGCTGAGGTCATCCTAATGACTCTTGGCACCACGTGTCTCTAGGGTCCTCATCTCCTGCACCCAGGCTCTGCCGCAGACCCCCTTAATTTCCTTAGCAAGCCGTACATGTTACCCCGTTTAAAGAACAAGGGATCTGGGCCACAGAGGATATAGGTGGCTCGTGCAAGGTGACACAACAGGTACTTGGCAGGCCCAAAATGGAATCCTAGGCTCTGAATCTGAACCATCACCCAACCCGCAGGAAGGCATGGGAGGGGGTAGCTGTCATGAGCAGAAGCCCCTGCTTTGTGGGGTCCCGCTGACTCATTTAGCACTTGCCCGGCTGTCTGGAGCCAGAACGTCAGGGGCTGACTGGCAGGTAGCACCAGGACCGCCGAAGCTGTGAGGGGCTCTAGTGAGCACATGTTCTCCCAGAGGGCACCCGTGCAGGAAGCCAGGTCGGGCGGAGATGAGCTGGAGAAGCCAAGCTGCGACAAAGGCCCCTGATGCGTTGGGGGGCGGAGCAGGGGGAACGCCGGCTTTGCCCATCTCCACACTCACTGCCGACCTGCCCCAAGAACCAGCCTGGCCCCTCTCCCTCCGACTGCCACTCTTCCAGTGTCAGGACTTGGGTTTCAGGCGGGGCCTGCCGGCCACAGCCGGGCTATCTCTTTAAGGTGACTCTGCACTTCTCTGCTCACATCCATTTTGAATCCCTATCAGAGTTTAACATCCTGAGGATAATTTTCCCAATAATTGGGGGTTTCCTGTCAAGCACCTGCTCCCACCATACTCTTTCCATGTTCACCCCAAAGAATACAAACACAGGTGTATTGCAATTCATCCGTTATACCCGACGCTTCACTTCTATTTTTAAGGACGACTGCTAATTTTACTGGGGCTCTTAGCTTTTCAAGTTTGAAGCTGCAACAATTCACCATATTAAGATTAAACAAGAGGGAAATTTGTGTTGCAGTGGCAGCCACTCCAGGGAATACAGCCGCCCAATACATGGGGCAGAAATGTCGCACGGGAGGAAGGTGACGACCAGCACAAGTTTAGCCCTTGCCCACCTTACAGGGGAAAAGTGGTGAGGCCCCAGAGCGGCCTGCTTCCCACAGGCGGTGTTGTCTGCAGAGCGCCCCCCTGTGGCCGGGGGCTATCACTGCAGTTGGGTCGGCAGGAGCTACTTTTTTTTTTTTTCTTTTTGCGGTACGCCGGCCTCTCACTGCTGTGGCCTCTCCCGTTGCGGAGCACAGGCTCCGGACGCACAGGCTCAGCGGCCATGGCTCACGGCCCCAGCCGCTCCGCGGCATGTGGGATCTTCCCGGACTGGGGCACGAACCCGTGACCCCTGCATCGGCAGGTGGACTCTCAACCACTGCGCCACCAGGGAAGTCCTGGCAGGAGCTACTTTTCCTAACCCCTCAGAGCTCCCCATTCTCAGGTGAGGACACTGAGGGCGTGAGTGACACGAGTGAGACTCATATTTTTTGGCATTTGCATTAGAAAAAAAAATTGGAAGAGTCTAGTCACTTTCTTCATCAATTCCAGTTCAGAAAGATGCGACTGTAACCTAAATTTGTCCTTCAAGCCATTGCTGGAGTTGTGAGAAACCTACTTAACACCCATCTCTATCTCATGGGAACAGGCATTGAAATGAGTGCTACCACACAGCTGGAATCTGGCCTGTGAAGACTGTGAGGCTGGACAAACAGATGCAAGGAAGCAAACATCTTCGAGTACGTCTGGGAGCTTAAAGAGTGAAAACAGAGAATGTAGACCCAAACCTGAAAAACATGACAGTCTGGTAACTGGAGTTAAGAGCATAGTCACAGTTACAAAAGTTCTGAGGTGCAGAGGGAGAAGCAATGGTAGAAACTGGCTGTCGCTGGTGGTGGTAATCAGGAAATGTTTGGCGCGCCCCAGGGAGAGACCCGCCTGTGACTAAATACGTTTTCAGCTTATTCTGCTGCCGTGTGTGGGATGGGCTGCAGGAGACCTGGCAGGAGTCCTGAAAGGCCAGGCAGGAGGCAAGAAGCGACCCAGGGAAGAAGCACAGGGTCCCTGAGGGGCTGTGGTGCTGAGGAAGGAACCCAGTAGGACTCTCGGAAGTTGAGATGGAGTGAGAGGGAGCAGAGCAAGGGTGCTGTTTTCTCTCCGCCTCGTGGGCAAAGGGCACCGCAGGGACGAGAGAACACTCAGGGCACCCTCTGCTTTTGAAACTGATAGGAAAGAACACCTTGTTTTCCACCAACCTCAGATTCTGTACCCTGGTTTGGCGTGTACCCTGGGGTATTTCTGTGGACTCCAGTTCCCCCTATGATGATATATTTAACTCCCCTGTTAGGACTTCAGAGCTCATCAAAAGCCCTTAAAAATGTGCTAACAGCCCTTAATGAAGCCTGACGCCTTCAATTAAACTGTCAGAAATAAAGCCCGGACAGCAGTGCCAAGGGTGTGGGGGGTGGGGGCGGTGGCAGCCCAGAGGCCAGAGCTCCGGTTTCATTTCCTATCTGCAAGAGTCCTTTTTGAGAAGGGGGACCCAGCAGTATGGCCCCCTCCACCGATGCCTCTCATGGTCCCGAGCCACCGCACACCTCCCTTGGCCAAAGTTTGGGAAGAGAAAGGGGGCCCAGCTTCCCTGAGGACACACAGGCCCCTTGTTCGCCAAGAAGTCTGCCTTGACTTCGGTGTCAGGGCCGAGTGCCAGGCAGGGCAGAACCTTTGGGCTGCAGCCTCTTCCTGCTGGGAAGGTGGGAGCGCAGCCAGGAGCTTGGGGGGACAGGGTGGTAGAGCTGGTCATTTGTAGAGAACTCAGTCCCCGGGCTGCGGGGTGAGGACAGAGTAGAGGGGGTGACACTGAAGACAAAAGGAAGATGGGGCACTGTCTCCACCCCCAGGCCTATGAAACAAGGGATGAACCGGCAAAGGAAAATGGCCTTCCTCTGTCTCGGCCAACAGTCTGGGTGTCCTGGCTCCAGGCCTGTCCCTCCTCTGCGGCCCCAGCAGGAGGTACTGTAGTCACTCTGAAACTAAGAGGACCAACACCCACCCTCACCCCCCTGTCTTGGACCCCGGCCCAGTGCTGGCCAAGGCCCATCTGGGTCAGGCTCATCCCCCCAGACTCTCCAGGGCATGAAGCCATGGCTGGAGCACACAGGGAGCCATGGAGAGGGGGGAAAAAAAAAAAAAAAAAGAGTTTATTTAATCAGAGAGCCTTTGAAGGCACCTGGTTTGAGTGTAAAACAAAAAGTCAGTAAAATGGCGACTGTACAGGGTTCATGATGGGCAAGAACATGGGGAGGTGGAAGGAAGAGGCACATGGGGAGAAGGGGGCAGAAGTATCAGATAAGACTTCAGAACAAGCAGTCCTGACCCCTAGCCACCCCTGGTACAGGCAAACAGGTAGACACATGACACACACTGAGACTAGGAGCCTCTGCCGCTCTGCCAGGCAGGGATTGATCAGAGCCAAGTGCGGGGGCGGGTGGGGGGAGCACATGAGCAGACACAGAGGCCGTGTCCCCTCCCTCAACTCTGACTCTCAGGCCCACAGTGTCCCCACCGTCCATCCTCAGAGGCTCTCTCCTCCAGGCCTGGATGCTGGGCCCAGCACAGGCCGTGAGACAGCAGAAGTCGGCTAGGAAAGAAAACCTCCAGAGGACCCCTGCCCATCCCTGAAGGAGACGGAGGGCAGGAGCAGGCGGCCGGTGCCATCCTTCCGTCCATCCTCGGTCACACGATTGCCCGGAACAGGAAGGAGAAGACAGCCCCCAGCGCCAGGCCCAGAGACAAAAAGAAGGCCATGATGGCTCCGGCCGTCTCTGCCTCGGCTGGCTTCACTTTCCTAAAGGAGGGAGGGCGAGCCTACCTTAGGATGGCCCCTACCCCAGCTCCACCCAGAGCATCTAATTCTGCTTACCCACCTGTCGTACTTCCCCTCTTGGGGGGATGTGTACTGGGGCTGTCTCTACCTTTCCCTGGGAGCCCCTCCCTCACCCGACCCCTCTCCTACCCACCACTGCCTGGGACCCTAGGGCCAGCGGGCTCCTCTCTCAGCCTGGAAACCCTGAGCTCCAGGATCAGGAATCTTCTTTTGCCCTCTTTCCCTCTACTGAGTGTCCCCCATTGGAGCACTAGCCCCCTCCTGAGACCACCACACTCCCCACTCACTTGGGCCCAAAGCACATGCAGAGACTGGCGAGATAGCCGTTGGAGAAGGCGAAGGCAGCCATGAAGAAGATGAACCAGGCATCGTGCTCAAAGACCACGGCCAGGTTGTGGCGGGGATGGACGTTACACAGCAGCAGCAGAGGCACGAAGGCCAGCCGGGCCAGCACCAGGATCGGCAGCCAGCGGCTGTCCTTCCCAGGCTGCGGAGACCAGGCAGTGTCTCAGTCAGGCTGCGCCAGCCCCCAGGGCACACCCAGGCCCCCAACCAAGGCCCCCAGGGCTCCATTTGGGGTCCCTCAGGATCTGAACTGAAATCTCAAAGCCTAGTTACCCTTCAGGGGTACTGCCTGGGAGGGGGCATGACAGAGCCTTCTAGAGTGCTGGCCATGTTCTATATCTTGACCTGGGTGGTGCTTATCAGGGGGGTGTGTATGTTTGCTTGTGTGTGTATATACAGTCATTAAACTGTACACCTACAACTTGTACGCCTTACTGTACGTAGATTGTGTCTTGGTTTTTAAAAAAGCATGGTCGCCTTTCCACCATACTTTCTTGGTTCCCTCTCTGGGTCTCAAGCTGGACTCTCCCCTCTCACAGGGTCTTGGTGCCCCCTTCCTTCACTTACCCACATGGTGAAGGCTGTGAGGCTCCGGCCCAGCCAGTCAAAGATATTGAAAGTCAGGAAACAGGACACAGGAATGAAGTAGTCTCCTGGAAGAGAAAGAGTAGATTAGGGAACGGTTAGCAGGGTCCAAGAGAGGCAGAATCTACAACCCTGACCCTCACTGGGACTCAGTTTTCCCAGCTATAAAATGGAGAAGATGCTTCCAGCCCAGGGAAGGGCAAATGGACCAGGAGAGCCTGGCTGGGGAGACAGCAGTCCAAGCTCCCCTTCCCTGGAGTCCTAGCCCCGCTGGAGACCCTGTCCTTCCCCATCCTGGGAACCCATAGGGTCCTCACTCCAGGCGCTGGTGCCCGCAATGCTGGACTTGACCTCGGCAGCCACGGCAGGAAACATCCCAATAGTGATGGTGAAGACGAAGCAGACGGAGAGAGCCGGGACTAAGATCTGGAGGAAAGGGACTCAGGTCTGTGTCTTCATGGCGGTTGTGCGTCATGAAAGAACCAAGATTCCCCAACACACACACAGACACACAGACACACAGACACACACACACACACACACACACACGAGAATCCAGGAAAGTGGCCAGTCTCCAGTCAGAAAGGGAGGGGATGGGGTCTTCCCAGGTGGTCCAGTGTGTAAGACTCCGCGCTCCCAATGCAGGGGGCCCGGGTTCCATCCCTGGTCGGGGAACTAGATCCCGCATGCATGATGCAACTAAGAAGCCTGCATGATGCAACAAAGATCCCATGTGCCGCAACTAAGACCCGGAGCAGCCAAAATAAATAAATAATTAATAAATTAAAAAAAAAAAAGAAAGGGAGAGGATGGGCAGTGCCGGGAAGGGGGAGGGTGGGGTGGGGAAAGGAACAAAAGGAGAGAAAGAGGGTGAGGGGTAGAAGGCAGGATGCCCAAGCCCCACATACGTTTTTGAGGATGGCGCAGACAGAGTGGCTTTCGTCGGCGGGCTGAGATTTGGGGGCTGAAACTCCGGCCTCCTCTTGGCCTGCTTTTGACTTCTCTCCTGGGGGGTGACAGGTGGTGGAAGGATCTTCAAGTTGTGGGAAGGACAGAGCAACAGAGGACACAATCCCCGAAAGGGCTGGGGTCAGCTGAGGGTGGACATTCCCTTAACCAGTGCACAGCCGCGCCCTGACACTTAGCCCAGACGGCCTTCGAACTCCCACTGTGCAAGTCCCCTGACCTCTCCCAGGAGCCTCAGGTCAGGTTACGCCCTGTCCGGGAATCTGAAATTGCTTCCCAATGTCCTCAGGCGTTCGAGGCCACCCAGGATCTCCCCGCAGCTTCTCTATCCCAGCCCCTATTTACTACTGTGACCCCTCACCCCATCCCTGATCCCTCTCGCCTCTGGCATCACTGCAGCACGCTCATTCTTGCCCTCAGCTCATGCTGCCTCCCTGCTGGGCAGACTGTCCTCCACCCCAGCTTCCTCAGTCTCTTCAGACCTTTGCTAATGAGGTCCAGCTTGGTCTCCTGCTCCCCGGGCCCTTCGAGCTTGAGTTGCTGGTAATAGCGGTAGAATTCCTATCAAGTGAGGGAGACCAGGAAGGTGGATTCAGAAGCGGAATCTCCAGAATCCCCACCCCCCCCAGGTTTCACACCCACAACACCCTTGATCTGGAGTCCTGGACCCGCCCTAGACCCCAAACCCAGTGTTCTCCAGGAGCTCACCAGCCTCGGCAGGCCCAGATAACAGGCGATCGTCAAAATGATAACCCCACAGGCTGTGATAAAATAGCCAAAGGCACTTTCCGACAGCTCCGAGCCACCTGGGGTGGAGGGTGTCAGCGATCAGAGACAGGCCCCCTCCCTTCTCCCCACAACACCAACCAGGGCGACAGGCAGACAGATGGCAAGACTTACTGGCGATGGCGCAGATCATGGCCACAGAGGCAAAGAAGCCTGCCAGGCCCTGACCACTCATGATGGGGGCTGTGTAGCTGGCGGGCAGGAGGCCGGCCAGGCCAAACAGGCTGCCCTGCAGGATGGCACCGAACGCTGGGGAACAGGGTGGGCATCAGCAGGGGAGGGAGGAGCCGGGTGGGTGGCCGGGGCCCCTGCAATTCCTGCTTTACTCCCAGTAAGTCTTGACGCTGAGTGGCCCTTCTCTCCCCACTCCCAGGGTCTCCTCTCCCACACCTGGTCCATGCCCGCTCAGGCTTCTGAATCCTGACCACCCAGAGGGAGGAAGAGATTTCTCTCTGGCCAACTGTGGGTGTGAAAGAAAGGGGCAGGTATGTGGGAAGATCTCTGCCCCAGGTCCCCACCCAGCCCGGCTTACAATTAATGAGCATGATCTTCATCATGGTGACGACAAAGAAGGGCAGAGCATCCATGGGCACCTTCACCAGGATGGCAGTGATCAGGAACACCAACAGGATGGCCACCAGGCTGCCCAGGATCCGCACAGACTGGGGGATCCTGCCAGAGAGGCCGCGACGGCAGAGACGGGTGGTAAAGCCAGGGGCTCAGCCCAGGGAGGGCACGAGGCAGTGAGCGGTCAGGGTGGGGGCCCGGGCACTCACCTCTGATGCAGGAAGGAGTTGAGGCAGGTGAACAGCAGTAGGGGCAGCATGGCACATAAGGTCATGACGTTGTTGAAGATGGCGCTAAGATAGGTCCGCTCTGGCAAGGGTGCTGAGGGGCCGGCCGAAGCCTGGATGTCCTTGCTCGGTTCAGCAGGGACCAAGGACGCGTTCTGGGACATGTCCAGGCGGTTTGTGAAATACTGTGAGGGTTGCACAGAGGAGTGTTAGAACCTCTCTCCCCGTGCCCACAGCACAGATCCAGGCCCTACGTGCCCAGTGGACATGCCCCGGGAGCCCATCCCCCACATCTCACCGCAGTGGCTGTCATGAAAAAATTCCAGGGCAGCAGCGTCCCCAGACCCAGCATGAAGAAGATAAGCCAGACGGCTTTGTACCTGGGGATGGGAGAGGAAAGTGAGGCCAGGTGACTCACCATCCCACCCTCCTTCCCAAATCAAACCTGGGGCAGCCCCCTCCCCTTCTATCTCTCCAGCTGTCCCAGGGCACAGGGCATGCGTCCTCCTACTTGTGTATGTATGTGGAGGGAGAGGTGGCCTGGGATGGGGGAGAGGGCACAGATGAGTCCCGAGAGGGAAGGGGACCAGGGACATAGGACCGAAGGGCATGGCCCAAAGGACCATTCTCAGCCCCAAAGACTCAGGGGACGCTGCAGGCTTGGGAACCAGTGTGACCCACACATCCGGAGGTGGTTTTGGAAATCCTGCTAAAGGCTAGGGGTGGGAGGGTGAGTGAGAAAGCAAACACAATTCTTCCACCCCCGCCAGGCAGGCTGGAAGTGATTACACTGTCAGGGCAGGGCTGCGTGGCTCTCCAAAGAGGATTCTGAGGTCAGGAAACTCCCAGACCATTCTGGATCTAGGAGGGCAGGCAGGCAGGGAGCCTTGGGACATCTGGGAAGGGAGGGAGCTGTTTTTTCCTGGCCTAGACAGGACCAGCTTTGTAGTTTGCACCACATAGGAGAGGCCAGGAGGGACCAGGCCCCTGGACATCATCTGGGCCCCCGAGGGTAAATAAGCACCACCCAGCCTAGGCCAGGTCACTGCCCCAAGCCCCACCCCCTCAGGGCCTGTCTGCGACGGGACAGCTTTCCCCAGACAGCCCTGGGCCCTCCCACTGTGGTCTCCACCTGTGTCTGCCATACTTTCCCCAGAGCCCACACCCGCTTTCTTCACAGAGCTGGCAGGGACAAGCCCAAGGCAACGAGCAGACGGGTCTAGCCAGAGCGCAGGGCCTGGCCGCACCAGCTGGAGGCCTGGGTAGGCACCCCAAGTGGGCAGGTCTGAGCCCTGACAAGTTCAGCCCCCCCATCCCCCTCATATATTCCCCACCTTGAGGAAGAGAGGTGAGGCCTTGATCGAGAGGCCCAAAGGAAGGGAGCATTCCCAGCCAAGGTCCCAGAGGACAGAGGGCCAGAGTGGGGCTGGGTGAGTGCCACAAGGCCAGTGGAGAAGGGGAAGGGGTTCAGAGAGCTGCCACCAGATGGGGGTGCTGGGATAGGGTGGCAGGCAGCCTGGGAACAAAAGACACCGTGGAGGGAACCAACCAAACAGCTTGGGACCTGTACTTACTATGTGTCCTTAAATTCCCTCCCACCCAAGTAAACCTCACGTCTCTTTTACAGGTGGGAGATGGTTTCAGAGACATAAAGCTAAGTGCCCAAGGTCCCACAGCTAGAAGTGGCCTAGTTCCATGGCCTTTGGCACAGGGGGACAGGATGGGCAGGGGGGCGGTGATGGGATTGGGGGGCCCGGGTGGAAGGCTGTTTTGGACCCCAGGCACGGCTTCATCAACCTTTTGGGGGCCTAGACTCCTGGGAGAACTTGCATCCAGCTACAACCTCTTCCCCCAAAACACACATGCGTGATCATGGATGCAGGTCTAACCGGAGGGAACTCCTAGGCTCCGGAGGTGGGGAAGTGAAAGGGAGGTCAGAGTGAGGATCAGGGTGAGGCAGAGGCCAGCTCAGAAACGAGGGGTGCTGCCAGATGTCTCCCCACGGTGCTGGCAGGAGCTGGAAGCTGCTGAACACTGGAAACTCCGACAGGCCAGGGAGGGGCTGCTGCCCCCATCAGCACCCATCAGCACCCAGCCACAGCACGAAGGGCCCCCACCCCTGATGCAGACCCGACTCATAGCTACCTCATAGCCGGAAGGCCCGCCAGTGGTGGCAACCCCAAATTCCAGCCTCCTGGACCCCTTTCCACTCCCCTGGATTCACAGCCCAGGTCCCCCAGTACCTGTCCTGAGGCTGGTGACTGGTTGTCATGGTGACGGCTGTTCTTGGTTATGCCTGGCTGATAGCCTCCTCCCTCGGTGCTTGCTGGGGGCAGAAGCAGTGTGAGGTCCTGTCTCGGCCCTGCTTCCCCACAGGCCTCTTCAGACTCTTGGTTGGGGGGTGAGGAGGGCAGGGCAGACAGAACGGGCAGGCTGAAGAGTCCGGAAAGCCCCACTCCCGGCCCTGCCTCTCAGGACTGCTCCCTCTGACCCCTTGGGCCTGGCCCGCTGGGCCCCCCTGCCTGCTCAGGCTCTACCTGGCTCCCGGCCTGGCCTGGCCACTGCCACCGCTATTTTTATCCAGCAGTTGAAGCAGTTTGTAAGCAGGGAAACAGGAGGGTGGAGCGCAGGAGGGAAGGAGGAGGAGGTATGGTTGAGAGGGAGAGAAGAACAGCTAAACGCAGGGGAGACAGCGGGAGGGGTCAGGGACAGTGATGACAATGAAGTGGGGACAGAAGGAGGGAAACAGAAAGGAGATAAGAGCGAGAGGATGGGGGAGGGAAGAGGGAGGACACAAAACAAACAGATCCGCAGAAGCAGCAGCCTCAGGGGTGACGACCGAGGCCAAACCAGCGAGGCCTCCCTCCCCAGCTCTCTCTGCAAGTCTGACCTCTCTGCACTCCCAGGGAGCCCCTGGGCTCATGGTTAGGGTGGGATTTGGAGAGCCTGTCCCCTCCTGGGGGCACCCCAGACTCCAGCCTCTCTGCTGGTGGCACCCTAACCATCCTTTCCAGCCACTGCCCAGAGGCTCCCTGGTTCCTGGCCAGTCTTCCAGGAACATACTTCAGGATGTGTGTGGGGACCCAGCCTCTCCCCTGACCCCCAGTCCTGGCCACAGGGTCATCCCATCCCCCCCGGATTCCTCTCTGACTCACTCCCATGTCCTCTTCCCCTTTCTGAGAACAAAGTTGGAGGGAAGACTGGAGGGATGGGAGCAGAGGCTGCCTAGTCCCCAGGCATCCAGCCTCCTCCCTCAGTATCCCTTCCCTGCTCAGGCAGGGAGAGGCTCCCTGGCACCAGCAGAGGAAACAGCTTTCCCTCGGATGGCATAGAAAGCCAGGCAGGCGTGTGCTGGTGTGTCCCCAACATGTGGGCCTAGCTCTGGAGCCAGCTCTACCGTTCTGGGCGAGGACTGGCTTCCTTGCCCACCAGGACCAGCACTCAGACTTGCCCAGACTTGCCAGCAGAAGGGTGGGGGCAGAGGGGGCCCGGGTGGTCTGTGGGAGGTGGTCCTAGCTCAGGCTCAGGCAGCAGGCCTTGTCCATGGGCTCCTCCAGAGTAAGGGTGTAGAATGAACGTGGCGGCACAGGGCATATCAGGAGAGAAACCCCCAGGCCTCACTGTGGGAGGGAGCAGCCCCATTCTGAGAAGCCTCCCCACAAACACAACCAGGGAGATAAAACCCAGCCCTGTAGCTTGGGAGATAAGACAGCCAGCAGTCTCAGCAGGGGAGCTGAGGGGGTGGGTCAACTCACAGGTACAGCCAGTGCTCCAGGCCCCAGCCTGAGACCACAGCCCTGGGGACCCCAAGAAAGGACCGCGATGGGCCTTTCTACCCCCCCCTCCAATAATTCCTCTCAACCCCTCCCTGGGTAAACTCCAGCCTCTCCAAGGCCTTCCTCAGCCCCACAGCCCACATCTGGGCCATAGGACAAGGAGGGGAGGGGCAGACCCACATAGCTCCAGATGGAGGCGCTCTTCCTTTTTACAAATATTTACCGAAGACCTCTGCATGCCAGCCAGGCACTGTTCTAGGCACTTGGGACAGTGGTGAATGACAGTTTATACATTTTCCAGAAGGATGGGGACGAGAGGGCTCTACACTGGGGTGTGGGCAGAGGCAATGAGGGGAATCCCCAGCTTCTCACCTCACCCTAACCTGTGCTCCATCCTCACCCTCCACAGGCAAGATTCCTGGCAGTAAAGAGCACGTGCAGCTTCAACGCGCAGGCGGGAGATGGGGGGGGGGGTGCGGAGAATAGAGTATCTCCCCTTCCTCAGTAAAATCTCTCTAGGCTCAGAGGAGTATTTCTTTCTGCTACACCCCTGCTCTCTGTTCTCAACTGTCCTCACCCCAGTCCTGGGCACAATTCAACTCCAGGGGCAGCCCGCTGCCCCTGCCCACATCCTGACGTTCAGCCCACCAGCCCAGGTATTTTGTTTTTGTCTGCCTTTGCCCGGCAGCAATTGGGGATTTGAGACCAGCTCAGAGCATCTGGTGCTCCTCAGCCATGCCTTGGCCTGCCGAGATGAGGCCTTGACAGCAGCCACCAAACTGAGCACCTCCCCAACCCCAGGCCCCAAACACCTCTCATGACCCCAGCTTCCAGAGACACCCGTGTGGTGGCATCAAATTCACCACCTCCTTGGATCCCACATGGGGCCACCACCTGCAGATACCTTCTCCTGCCCTCGGCTGCCCTTGCAACCACCACAAGCTAGTACAAGACTGTCTCCACGAGAACAGACGAGGACAGCTGAAGTTCACAGAGGTTGAGTCATTTGCCAAAGATAACAGAGCTAGTGAATGGGTGAGCTGGAATTCAAACTCAATGTGCAGCTTACTCTAGGCTCCTTCCTGGGTGGGGAGGAAGGTATAAAGGCTGTTTCCCAGCCAGCCTCTTATACTGGGAGACAGGGTAACTCTACTCCAAGTAAGGGATTAAAAATAAGGTAGGGGTCGAGGTCACCTCCAGCCTGAACTAAGTGTCAGCTGTAAGGCACTCCCCCACCCCATTACACACACATCCTGGCAAGGAGAGCTTACACTGGCAGGAGGACAAGGCAGGAAGGTCTGGAGGTGATTGAGAGGAATGGGCAAAGGGACAGCCCCAAGAGGGGTGAGGGGCAGGGGTGGGACCAGCCCTCCTCCACCACAGCTCTCCCCTGGGAAGAAAATCTGGGATATGTCTTTGTTCTTTCTCTGAGTGAAGCAAGGATCCTCTCTCCGGGAATAAATGAGGACGCGCCCAGGAAGGGAGGCCAGGTACACGAGTTCGGCCAATAGAAGGCGGTGGTTAAAGAGACAGCTCCTCCACTCCCATTCCCTGCACCCAACGCAGTTAACGGCGCGGCCCCTCCCCAGTACCAACGACAAGAATTGATCGAGATTAACCTTCAACTCGCCCGCCCCTTGCAGAGGTCAGCTCCGCGACAACCGGTTTCAGGCCCGGGAGCCAAGTCGTCCACGCCCGCTCGGGTCCGGGTCCCCGCAAGGTGCCCCTGCGCCCGTGCCTCGGCGCGCCACGTGCTGCGCGGCTCAGGTGGGGCCCACCCCGCGTCCCCTCCCCCGGCCGCTCAGCTGCCAGGCCCGGCCTCCCTGCTCTCGTGGCAGGCGGCAAGCGGCGCCTTCCACCCCGGCGACCCCCGGCCCCCGGTTCCCCGGCCCCCAGTCCCCGGGTAGCACCTGCTGGGAAGGAGTCTTCCCGCGTGGAGGTTTGCGCGCTTTCCCTGCCACTTCCCGCGCCCGCCTGAGCACATTCAAACCCGCCCTCCGTTCGCCCCGCCCCGGCACGCCCCGGCCCGCGCCCGCTCTCCGGCGTCCGCCGAGGCCCCGCCCCCGCCCCCGCCCCCCGCACGCCGGCTGCCGGCTCAGAGGGACCCCCGACTCGAGACCCTCCGCCGCCTGGCCTACACCTTGCACTATTTCTGTAGATAGGACCTCTGGGGGCGCTGCCACGCCAAACCCTGCCCCATCACGGAGCACGTGGGGCTGGAGGGTATAGCAGCACACTGGGTACCCCCGGTCTCCGCGCTGGGGTTACACAAACTCCTACAAAGCTGTCTCGAGACACTCCCAGCGACAAACCCGCTCAGACAGATCCGGACGGCCCCCGCATCGCCCCTACACCATCTCAGACGTTCTGTTATGGCTCCCCAAGCCCCCTCCCACACCATCTCTTTCACACTGCACCTTTTTCCTTTCCAGCGTCCCCTTCCCTTTTCAGTGCCACTTTCTTCGAGTCAGACTTTCCTTTCCTCTCCCCAGACCCCACGCCGGGGATCCCTCCGACGGAATCAGCATGATGTGTGACCTGGGTTTTCCCACACAGATCCGCTCACCGACAACTTTGACTTAGCGATGTGTGTGGCGTGGTGGGGGGAGCCACAGCCCTGTAGCCCTCTCATGATTCACCCTTTCTAAATCCAGAACATTGGAAAAGCTGAGGCACAGCTGGCAACGGGAAGAGAAAACGCCCGTAACAGCTTTATAGCCTGAGTGAATCCTATGGTCCTGATACTCAGAGGTGGAAGCCTTGCGGAGCCCCATGTCCTCCCTGGCTGAGGAGGAAGGGGGTGGGCATGCTGAGGAATGATCAGTCCTTCTTGTACCTCCAAGGGAGGGGGAAGGATTCCCTCCTTTTTCGTTGGTCAGTAAATCTAGGGGATGGGGGGATCACTGCCCCTACAGCAGCCTTCACTATAGGAGAACAATCCAAAGGCTAGAGAGATGCTGAGGACAGAAAATCCAATTCACCCCCCACACCCTTGCCCCAGTTACCCAAGAGGCCTGTACCCTGGAGAAGCCATAGGCACTAATTAACAATTAGCAGTACTAACATCGTAGGGATAAGGCAGAGTCACGCCTTCTCCGCAGAGAACAGACTGGGCTCTGACGGGAAGGGTAGTTTTTCTACTTAGGATTGATCAGTGGATGCACCCCAAGATACTCAGAAGGGCTGTTCCCAGCCTACTGGCTCAGGGACCCACAGAGACATGACATACCAACATCTCCTGGTCTTAACCAAACAGAGGGCAGGAAGAGGGGTATGAGTGGTATTTTTCTAGGCACTGCCCCATGCCTTGAGGGCAGCTTCATGTCTGGGTCTCCCTCCCCCCATTCCTACCCTGTGTTTGTCCAGCCTCTCTCTTCCTCTCCTGGCCCTCTTCTCCCCTTTTGCTCGGCCCCTGTCTCTCTCCCCATCCTCACTTCCCGTCTCTAAGTCTGTGGAGGTGGCAGCCCTTCGTGGTCAAATGGATCCCCCAGGCTGGTGGCCATTGGCTGCAGCTGTGTGCAAAGGGGGCTGGAAGTGGAAAGAAACTGGAGGGAAGTGGTGAGGGTCACAGGCCAGACAGCGGAAGGCTGGTTTCCCTCCCCACCCCCGCTGAAGCTCAGCCTGCTCACTAGATGGCAACAGCCAGGGCTGTTATTGCTGGACAGAAGCCTGTCTGGCACTCTCCCTGCCTGGGCCCCCAGCCAGCACCCACACCCCTCCAGAGCCACCTCCCTACGCAGAGATGGTTGCTGGGTGCCAGGGCCCTCTGCTGGACAGCCTCGGAGCCCGACTCACAGTGGCCTGTGCCCTCCAGGCCCAGCCAGTCCTTGTCACCCTCTGCCCAATCTTTTGGCTCCCTCAGGTCCCGGGTACAGGGGTAGGGTGTGAAGGGCTGATCCAGCTGCACCCCACCCCCACCGGATCCCCCACCTATTTGAGCCTGTGGCTTGCCCTGATTCCCTCCTCCCCCTTCCAGGCCCCAAGCCTTCCTCATCACCTCACACAACCAGTCCTATCCTTCCCCAGCCCTGCCTCCATCTGTGTTTGCTGGAAGTGGATTTGCTTGGCTCCGCAGTTTGTCACCAACTCGTCTCGTGACTGTTATGTTCTTAGTCCTGTTTGCGACTCTATCTCTGTGGCCCTCTGGCAGGCTGGGACTAGGGAGAGGCCAGAGAGGCAACTTGCCTGATGCAATATTTAAGGGGGCGCCCAAGTATTCCAGAATCCAGATAAATAATGTTTAAAGGCAATATTTTTTTAAATCAAAGTTAATACAAAACAAAAGAGAAAAAAATCCATGATGAACAAAACATCAACTAAACTAAAGCCAGAATCCGGCCCTCTCAGGGTCGGACACCCTCAAGTCCCTCACCTTTCTTGTGGGTGTGTACGGGGATCAGGGTTCAGGAAGACTGGGCTTGGTTTTCCAGCTTCATTTCTCAGACCTCTGCCCCTATCCTCTGCTCTGGGAAAGTCTCCGACCTTGGAGACAACTGAATGTGGTTAGGGTAGGGTAGTCATCTCACCACGGCCTCCAAGGTCTGGGAAAATGATCTCCTCCGCCACAAACCGCAGTTGCAGACTCCGTTGATTTCCCCCGCCCCACACGCGCAGACCCCGCCCCCTCGCCACGGCCCCGCCTCTGCTCCCAGCGCACCTGCAGGGACTGCGGAGGGCTCATCCGGAGTCCGGGAGCGCGGACGGAAATTCACAGGCCTCCCTTTGGCCTCCTCACTTCGGGACTGGGGCCGTCGTGGTGGCCGGAAACCGCAGTCCGCGCCGCGTCTGACCGGTCTATACCGCCGGGCGGCAAAGGGGCTGCAACGGGCGATCCCGGCGCCAGCCCCGCGCCTCGCGGCTGGCTCGGTCCCGCCGGCGCCGCTCGGGAGTGAGGAGCGCTCCGGAAGGCCGGCGGGAGGGGAGGCCTGGAGCGGGCGAAATAAATAAAGGTGCCCGTGACCCTGGAGGGGACCAGGGGTTCGAATCCCCTTCACCCCGCCCCTCCCCCGGGCCACCTTCCCGAAGGGGTCGAGCACGTGCACTGGCTTTTCAGGACTCCGGGAGGAAGCAGATGGTGCCGGGGTGTGGGGAGGCGGGGGTCTGGCGGAAAAGCCCGCTGGGCCGGCTTGGGGGCCCACAGCTCTGGTCTCGGTTCTTCCCCCAGGCCAACCTTCTGAGGGGTATGCTAACGGGGTGAGGGTCCTGAAAGGAGCCTGTACTCCTCACTTTCCCACTTTGAACCGAGAGCCCAGGACTCGCTGGAGGAGGGTGGGAGGGAGGAGTATTGCATGGGAACCGTAAGCAAATTATCCGGAGGCTGGCATGCAAATACCTCTGACAGCTCTTATTTGATCCCCGAGGGGCCTCCCACTGGGGAGGGGAAATAGGTGAATTCCTCAGATCACACCCCACCCACCCGCTACCCCTTAGATCCCATCCTGAGCAGAGGACCCCTCAGGGGTATGCATTTCTACACTGCTCCTCTGGGCGGCTGCCCACAGGGTCCCTCAGCAAACAAATCTCCCTCTTCCCACACCACTAGCTGCGAAGAGTGTCCACGCTTGCTGGAGGACGTTTACCTCCTTACCCTGAGCTGGCCAGGCAGACCCAAGACTGCTGGTTTACAGTGTAATATACTCAAATTAGGCAAGTGGACGTACAAACCGAGAGGGACAATGGAATAGGTAGCAAAAGGAAGCCTTGAATTGTTTCCCCATCCCACCCTCTGGACAGGTTCGACTGTCATGCAGTGCAGGAGTGTGACAAAGACTGTCAAAGACATCCCAGGCATTCAAAGCAACAAATATTTATTGAGCACCTGCTGTATGTATGCTGGGCTTTGGAGGCAGGACTGACTCCCTAGGGAACCAAGGTCTTACTACTTGGTAAATCACGAGTCAAAGACAGACAGTCTGGATTAGCTAGGTTAAGCATTGTCCCTCATTGGACCTCATGTCCCCATTTGCCTGCGGGTGGGGGTGGCAGAGGGAGGAGAGTCAGTTCCTCTCCCCTCACAGGCCAGAGGTAATTAGAAACGTTCTTGGAAAAAAAATTAAAAAGATGGGACTTCCCTGGCGGTCCAGTGGTTTAACAGTCTGCACTTCCAATGCAGGGGGTGCAGATTCGATCCCTGGTCCGAAACTAAGATCCCATATGCTGTGCGGCCAAAAAAAAAAAAGAAAAGAAAAGTTCTTGGGAAGAATGCAGGGGCAGGGAGGGAGGGATAATGATGGGTTTTCTGCTAAATGCAGAGCATCCTTCCAATCATCTCTGCTGGGAGTCGGGGGCGTGGGGAGGCATGTCCTGGCCGGACCCCTCTCATGCTCTGTCCCCCACCATGTCTTCTGCCCACTGGGCAGGCTGCAGTCAGTGATGGGGCCAGGACTGTCTTACTCCAAAAGAAAGCGTTTCAGTGGATACAGCTGCTACCAGGATTCATGGCCTCATTTTTGGGAGGCTAGCCTGTCCCTCCTCTCCAGGCGGGCCACTCTGGAGGCCTCCCCAGCATCCGGCGGGTGTCTCTGGCTGAGGACAAACAACAGACAGCCCAGCAAAGCCTCTCGCATATCCTGAGAGCCCAGGCGGTGGACCAGCCGGCGCAGCAGGGGCAGGAAGTGCCGGCGGGCAAGGCGGGCAGCAGGCAGCAGCAGGCGGGCCAGCAGCGTCCGCAGCAGCAGCGGGAGCAGCAGAGTGGGCATGGCCAGTGACTTCCAAGGCGATCTAGACTCTAGGCTTGCCTTTCCTGCTCCCTCCTCACCTGGCAAAGACATGAGGTGGGCAGGATTTAACCCCCGCTTCAGTTTATACCCTCCTGCCCCCAGATACCAATTCACGGGTCATTTTTGCTTTCCAGATGCCCTTGCTTTGGGAAGGGTGGCTGGGTCAGGAGGACACTCACCATAACCCAGATGGAGACAAACAGCGAAGGCAAGAGTAAATTCGGGGCTGGGACCTACAGCTCTCCATTCCCAGCCTCCAGGGGCTCTTACTGTCCCTTAAACCCTCCCTTCCTCTAGTCACCCCCTCCTCCTGTGCACTCTCAGTCACCTGACATTCCCTAACCCCTCTCCCTCAATCCAACAGGAGTTCTTCCCTGGGCAATTCTAAGTTTTCTTTTCAGGGACCTTGATCCACCCAAACCAGACACTTCCTACCCTCCCAGTGCCCCACCGCCCACAGCAGCCCAGCTCTCACCAGCAGGGACTGCCGCTTAGCATCAGTGTCCAGCTGAATTTGCCTGCAGGGGCTACAGTCTCACTGGACACTACCCAGGGCGGCCCCACCCAGCTCGGCCCCACCCAGCTCAGCCCCACCCAGGACAGCTTGCCTGGGTTGGGGGAGCAAGGAAGAGACAGCTGTGTTCTGGCACCTGGTATGTGGAGGGATGGGGGCAGCTGGACTGGAAGAAGTGATGCAGGAATTCCTCCTGCTGGGTGCAGACCTCAGAGTCTGCACTGCACTTTCTAATGGTGTGATCTGAGGCACGTTGATTCTTCTGGGTTCCAGTCCCCTCGTCTGTTACCTCAGTAATTGGGAGGAGTGACTGGAATGGGACAATGTATGAGACCCACTGACCCAAACCTCAGAAGCAGTAAGGTTGCAACCCACACACCGGGCATGCTCAGAGTGGCCAAGATGGAGAATGGACCGGGGCAGGCATTGTGGGCCCTCTCCTGGAATAGAGGCGTGAGGTCACAGTCCATATCATAGCTGGACACAGCTGGGCAGCACTCCCACTCAGGGACGGGAAGAGAGATACCCACGTCAGGACCCTCTTCACCCACGTTTTCTCCCAAAGATTAAATGGAGTTCCATGAGATAGTGAGGGAGAGATGGCCCAGGTTTGTTTTATTTTGTTTTTAAATACCTCATTCTGACATGTACACACTGCTATATTTAAAATAGATAACCAGGGACTTCCCTGGCAGTCCAGTGGTTAAGACCCTGCGTTTCCAATACAGGGGGCACGGGTTCGATCCCTGGTCGGGGAACAAAGATCCCACATGCCACACAGTACATCAATCAATCAATCAGTATTTTAAAATAAAACAAAATAAAATAGATAACCAGCAAGGACCTACTGTATAGCACAGGGAACTCTGCTCAATATTCTGTAATAACCTAAATGGGAAAAGAATTTGAAAAAGAGTGGGTACATGTATACGTATAAATGAACCACTTTGCTGTACACCTGAAACTAACACAACATTGTTTATCAACTATACTCCAATATAATATAAAAATTTAAAAAAATAAATAAATTTTAAAAAATACCTCTTTTTTTTGTTTGTTTGTTTTTGGCCGTCCAGCATGTGGGATCCAAGTTCCCTGACCAGGGATCAAACCCGCACCCCCTGCATTGGAAGCACAGAGTCTTAACCACACCCTCATTCTTCTACTTCATAAAATGGGTATAATTTCTGCCTTGATGGACTCACATGAGATAATGGCCATGAAAGGGTTTTATAAGAATAAGGACATGGGAATAGGATCGTTTATCATCAACCCACCACCATCCCCCATTAGCATCATCACCATCTCCTAAACCATCAAAGGCCTTGAAGAAAGAAAACTTCCAATTTTGTCGAAAAGGTCTGTCCCCCTTCTTCCTGGAGGAAGCTGGGCCGGGAGAGGAGCCAAAGTACAGATGTGTAGGTTTGGTCTTCCTTTCCCTCCTGTCCCTTCCTGAGGAGCTGTGATGGTCATCCCTGGGCTGTGGGTGGAACGTGTATTGAGTATGTATGTGCGTCACGCCTGTGAGTTCATGATCTCACTCAATTCTCACCATCACTCTGCAGGGGAATGATTATTATGACCTTTGTACAGATAAGGAAACTGAGGTTTAGAGGGGTTAAGCAACTTACCCAGAATTACAGCAAATAAATGGCCGAGTCTCCCCCTCAGACCTGCCCCTCCCTCAGGCTTTCCCCTTATCTGTAAGTGGCAACTGCCTCTTTCTAGTTACTTCTGGCCCAAATCCTGGAATTGATCCTTGACCTCTCTCTTCTTATCACAGTTCACTACCCACATTCGTAAATCCTGGTGGCTGTGCTTTCAAAACATTCAGAATCTCCCCACTTCTCACGAGTGCTGCCCTGACTGCCCTCGACTGAGCATTTGTCATCTTTCATCTGAATTATTGTATTAGCCTCCTAATTGGTGTTCCTGTTTCCCTTTTCCACACAGTGACCAGAATGATCTTTCTAAAACATGAGTCAGATCCCGTCCTTTTGGCTCCCTTTTCATTCAGAGTTAAAGCCAAAGGCTTTAATTGTGACCTGTAAGGCCCTCGGTGTCTGACCTCCCCCTGGCTTCCTGATTCAACTTCTAGTCCTTTCCTCTCTCACCCTGCCTGCCCCCGCTGGCCTCCTGCTGCTCTTAACTGTCCCCCCTGGCTTCCTGATTCAACTTCTAGTCCTTTCCTCTCTCACCCTGCCTGCCCCCGCTGGCCTCCTGCTGCTCTTAACTGTGCCAGACGTGTTTCCGCCTCAGGGCCTTTGCACGTACTATTGCTCCTGCCTACAAAGCTTTCTCCAGGTATCCACATGTGGCTCCACCTCTCACCTCCTTTAAGTCTTCACCCAGATGTTACCCATCCATCCTATTTAACAGTACATTCCCTCCACCCCATCTCCTGCTGCCTTCTCTCCATCTCCTCCTCTGCTTTATTTATCTCCTCAGCAAATCCTTCTGACAGGCTGTGTATCTTCCTTCCTTACCTTGCTGATTATCTGCCTCCCTCACTAGAATGTAAACTCCATGAGAGTAGGGACTTATGTCTATTTTGTCTGCTGCTCTGTCCCTAGTGCTCGGCAATAAACATTCCTTGTCAGAATAAATAAATAAATAAAGGTTCTGTGATGGGATCCAAACCCAGGCCTGCTTGTCCTAGAGCCTGTGCTACTGAGCCCCAGAACTCTGTGGATCCAAACACATTCCTAGGATGTGTGTGAGTCCTGTGGGCCACAGTCAGCTGGAGAGAGGCATTTGGAGAGGAGGAACTGACCACCACACTGAGCCTAAGGGAGGGGAAGTCAGGTTCCCCCTGGGAACCTACAAAGTATGTAATCTCGAGAGAACTGTGGAGGCCCGCCCAAGTGCTGACCCAGATCTGCAATGCTGTGACCTTGGGTAAGTTGCACCCCATACCTCCCAGGTCAGTTTCCATTGCTGTGAGATCTTCCAGCTGTGAGATCCTTGGACTCTGCGTCTGGGGCCAGACCTCTGTCCCACCCCTGCTCCCTGAGACAGTAGGGGACGCCAGGGGCCTGGGACAGTAAGGCAGGTAAAGGAAACAGGATGTCGTCTCTGGTAACAATAGGAAACCCCAGAGGGAGTTGGGAAGGGAGGTGGGGGAGGGGCAGCGGCTGTGTCCAGGGCCTGGATCTGGTTTTAGTTTATTCTCTACCCCTCGTCCCCCCCTGGGATTAACTCACTTCTTCATCTCCTTCCCACCTTCACCTGGGATTAATCCCATCCCCCGGCCCGCCCCAAGGCAGAAAAGGATTTCCTCAGACTTTGCTGGAAAGATAACCATCCCTTCCGGCAACAAAGCTACCAGAGAGCAGCAGTTCCTTCTAGTTCCTGACTTAGCCTCGTGTAATGGATCTTTCACGCACGGTTCTGACCCCTGCCTCCAACACTCTGCTGGCCAGGGAGGAAACTGGTCAAACCTCCTGTTCCTCAAAGGCAATTAAAAAAAAAAATGTGTGTGGGCGCCAACTTGTGAAGTTGAGGCCTGTGGGCTGAGCAGTAAGTGACCCCTGAGGTCCTCCTTCATGGTCCTCTCCCCAGATCCTCAGGGCCGCACAGAGGTGTCCTGGGGACCCCCCCTCCATACATAGACATCATTTAATTGGGTCATTCATGTCAACAACAAGTGTGTACCTGGTGACGAGGACACAGGACTCACACACCAGCAGTCAGCAGTGTGACAGACAAACAGATGGGCAAACAGGAGGCGGTGGTGAGAGCTGTTAATAGAGCTAATGGTTTCTCGCGAGACCTGAGAACACTGGGCCTTCCACTCCTCCCACCCCTTTCTGCTGTCTCCATCCAGGGGTTCAAACCATTGTACCACACAGCCACTCACTCTGCCTGGACCCAAACAGGGAGGTGAAGAGTGCTTCTGATGGTCACTCCAGTCTGGATTCACGTGCCAGCTCTGCGACCCTCTCCGGGCTACTCTGGAGGCTGGAGCACAGACTGCACGCTGTGCAACTGGGGGCAGGAGTGACCCCCCTGGAGTTGTGCTGTGCAGCGGGCCTCCTCCCTAGAATGTGAATCATCATAGAACCTGCCTCTGACAGGATCAAGAGATGGGAGATTACCAAGTCCAGAGCTTGGCTTCTAGAAAGTGTTCAGTAAACAAGAGTTTCCTTCCTGATTGGGAGTTTGGGATGAGCAGATGCAAACTATTATATATAGGATGGATAAACAACAAGGTCCTACCGTATAGCACAGGGGACTATATTCACTATCCTGTGATAAACCATAATGGAAAAGAATATGAAGAAGAATATATATATATGTACTGTATAACTGAATCGCTTTGCTGTACAGCAGAAATGAACACAATGTAAATCAACTATATTTCCATAATTTTTTTTTTTTTTTTGCCACACTAAGATGTGGGATCTTAGTTCCCCAACCAGGGATCGAACTCACAACCCCTGCATTGGAAGTGTGGGGTCTTAACCACTGGACTGCCAGGGAAATCCCAAAGATTTTTAAAAATTTACAAAAACAAGTTTCCTTCCTTCCATATTTTTGGGTTGTCCCTCCCAGCACATCCTACGTCTGAGCCCAGCCCTACTGGCTGCTCCGTGAAGACCTGCTATGAGGCACCCTGACACTCATGAACAGCTACTGAGAGTGGGTTCTGGGGCTCAGTTAACGCCTGAAGAAGCAATGGAGGTGTGCGTTCTGGCTCTGCCATGTTCCAGTGCCCTGTCATCACCCCTGGGGGATCAGCACTGGCCTGCAGCCCTTCCCTGTTGTGGGAGGTTGAGGGCAGCGCTGACCCCCAAACAAAGATTCTGAGAAGAGGCCAGGGAGGCCTCATCCAGGGCAGGCAGCGCTGCGGGGAGCAGGTGCCGGGGAGCAGGTGTGGAGGCCAGCCAGGTATAGAACGTGTCTGTGGGGAAAGGCAGAGTGCCAGCCCTATCACCACACCTCTCTCCCTGGGACTGTAGTCATTAATCTACCTGAGTGGGGCAATTTTAGGATTTGAGG